GTTGGGGCCTTCAAAGTATTGGAAGGCTTCAATATCTGAGACATAGGTGAGAGGATTATTCTAAGAGGGGTGGGCGAGATTCTGTGGCCTGCACGGTGCAGGGGGTCAGACTAGATGATCATAATGGTCCCTTCTGACCTTAAAGTCTATGAGTCTATGAGTTATTTATCCCTTTCCACAACATAAAAACCAGGGCTCACCCATTGAAATTAACAGACTGCAGGTTTCATGCAAATTTTTTCTTCATACATTGCATAATTAAACCAGTGAAACATGGCACCAGGGAATGTTGTTAAGGTTAAAAAATAGAACAATTCCAAAGAAAAATGGGTAAGTTCACAGAGGACAAGTCCATCAATGGCTATTAGCCAAGGTGACCAAGGATGCAACCTTATGCTCAAGGCATACAGAGGCCTGGAAGGGGAAGAGATGTGGGATCACCCCAACTGCCCTGTTCTGTATACTCTGCTAAAGCTCTGGCACCGGTCACCATCAGAGACAAGATACTGGGCTAGGTGGACCATTAGACTGGCCCAGAATGGACTGGCCCAGTATGATCGCTCTTACTGCATTACCTGCAAAAATATAATATTAATTGGCTAATTCTAACCATGCAATCAATGGAGGCAGCAGCACAGATTCACATACGTTATAGCCTCATCTAAGACCATGAGGCAACAGCAGATCAATCTAGCACACTTGACCCTACACCAAAGTAAAGATGTTAAAATGCTGTTAATTGACTAGTCGACTAGCCAATGGAATTTCCATTGAGTAGTCGATAGGCACGTCCACATTCCTCCTTTGAAATATACAAGAGCCCCAGCAGGAACTCCACGTACAGCCTGGGCCAGCGAGAAATCCTGCTGATTCCTGGCTGCACATGGCATGCCTGCTTTGAAATGCACAAGTGTTCCAAGTGGGGGCTCTTGTGCATTTCAAAGCCAGGGAGCCGAGGTTCAGCGGGGGACTCCCCAGCTGAACCCGGGTTCTGGGGAAGTGCTGCGCAGAGCCCGGGATCAGCTGGGGAGTTCCCCTGCTGACTCCCATTCCGTGTGGTATTTCAAATCAGTAGCGCAGCATGGAGTCTGGGGTCAGCAGGAGACTCTGACTCCATGCTGTGCTGCTGCTTTGAAATGCACAAGAGCCCCCACTGGGGACTCTTGTACATTTCAAAACTTGCACACCGTGTGCAGCCCGGAGTCAGCCCAGCAGGGGCTCTTGTACATTTCAAAGGAGGAATGTGGAAGTGCCTATTGACTAGTCGAGTAGTTGATGGAAATTCCACTGACTACTCAACTAGTAAATTAACCGTTACTTAACATCCTTACCTCCCACCCAGACCTTGCACCCTTAACTCCTTTTGCATCCCACCTTCTGTCCAGACCCTGCACCCCCATCCCTATCCCATTCACTTGCAGCTCTGTCCCGCACATTTAATCCCTCATTTCTGGCCCCCCTCCCTCAGAACCTGGGGGTGGTCCACAAAATCCACCAATCCTGGAATCCCAGAAATGTAAATATGGCCTCACACCTTGAACCTCAGTCCTCTCTGTCCCTCCCCTTCCCATGAATCTGGAGCCATGCAAATGGAGTCTGCAACTGGGCATTCTTATACAGCTCTTTGTTAACCACTTGTTCTGAATTTTGATGTTCCAGATCAACCCTGATAGATGGCTATCTAACCTGCTCTTAGATATCTCCAATGATGGAGATTCCTCCATACGCAAATTACTCCAGTGTTTAACCACTCTGACAGGGAGCAAGTTTTTCTTAATGTCCAACTTAAACCTTCCTTGCTGCAATTTAAGCCCATTGCTTCTTGTCCTATCATCAGAGGGCAAGGAGAACAATTTTTCTCCCTCCTTGTAATACTCTTTTTGGTACTTGAAAACTGCTATCATATCCCCTCTCAATCTTCTCTTTTCCAAATTAAACAAACCCAATTCTTTCAGTCTTCCTTCATAGCCTCCAGAGAAGCTGTGACTCTTGACATGGCAAAAATGGATTTCAGGAAGTCAGATTTTAGTAAACTCAGAGAGCTGGCAGGTAAGATCCCATGAGAAGCAATTCTAAGAGGAAAAACAACTGGAGATAGTCGGCAGTTTTTTAAAGGGACATTATTAAGGGCCCAAAAGGCAACTATTATGTTGCATAGGAAAAATAGAAAGTATGGCAAAAGTCCACCTTTGCTTAACCAGGAGATCTTGCATGATCTAAAAATCAAAAAGGAGTCATATAAAAAGTGGAAACCAGGTCAAATTACAAACAAGATTGGGAAAGGGCAAATATAGTGCCCATCTATAAAAAGGGAAATAAGAACAACCCAGGAAACTACAGACAGTCAGTTTAACTTCTGTGCCAGGAAAGATAATGGAGCAGATAATTAAGGAATTCACCTGCAAACATCTGAAAGAAAATAAGGTGATAGGTAACAGCCAGATTGGACTTTTATAGAACAAATCATGTCAAACCAATCTGATAGCTTTCTTTGATAGGATAATAAGTCTTGTGGATGAGGGAGAAATAGTGGACCTGGTATACTTAGACTTTAGTAAGGCATTTGATATGGTCTCACATGACCTTACCAATAAACTAGGCAAATACAACTTAGATGGGGCTACTATAAGATGGGTGCATAACTGGCTGGATAACCATTCTCAGACAGTAATCATCAAGTCTTTACAGTAATGCTGGAAGGGCATAACAAGTGGGGTTCCGCAGGGGTCTGTTTCGGGACTGGTTCTGTTCAATATCTTCATCAACCATTTAGATGATGGCATAGAGCGTATGCTTATTAAGTTTGCTGATGATACCAAGGTAGGAGGAGTTGCAAATGCTTTTGTGCATAAGGTCAAAATGATCTGGACAAACTGGAGAAATGGTGTGAGGTAAATATGATGAAGTATAATAAGGACAAATGCAAAGTACTCCAATTAGAAACGAACAATCTGTTTCACACATACAGAATGGGAAGTGACTGTCTAAGAAGAAGAATTGCTGAAAGAGATCTAGGGATCATAGTGGACCACAAGCTAAATATGAGTCAACAGTGTAATATTGTGGCAAAAAAAGCAAACATGATTCTGGGACGCATTAACAGGAGTGTTGTGAGCAAGACACGAGAAGTCATTCTTCCACTCAACTCTGCACTGATTAGTCCTCATTTGGACATGATAGCGGTGTTCAGATATTTAAAAGGGTGTCATAGGGAGAAGGGGGGAAAATTGTTCTCCTTGGCCTCTGATAATAGGACAAGAAGCAATAAACTTAACTGCAGGCTTTAGGTTTGACATTATGAAAAACTTCCTAACTTTCAGGGTGGTTAAACACAGGGTGGTTAAACTTTCAGGGTGGTTAAATTGCCTAGGGAGGTTGTGGAATCTCCATCACTGGAGATATTTAGGAGCAGATTAGACAGACATCTATCAAGGATGATATAGACTGTGTTTAGTCTTGCCATGAGGGCAAGGGACTGGACTTGATGATCTTTCAAGGTCCCTTACATTTCTATGATTCTATGAAATGGACCAAGAATTTATGCAGGGAGAAACTCCAAGGATGAGGAGGACCTAATGAACCAACTTTGTAAGTAAGTCCCAGTGGGCCCTTGGAGAAATGACGGAGTAGATTTACAGGGTCACAAATCCTTACCTATAAGTTCTAAAATGGATCTTAAACACTGTGGAAAAAGAAATGGGGCTCATAAACATTGGAAGTAAAGGCATATTTAGGCCTTATAGTAGCCTGCTGTGAATATTAAGGGTCTACTTAAGATACATGATTCAAATTGTGCGTGTGTAAGAAATTACAGAGTAATCATGTGTGTGAGAAAAATAAACAATAAAGTAGCCACAAAGCTAGAATAAACTGATTTGAGCTAACTTGAAACCTATACTGTCATGTCAGTGGATGAGCATGGACATGGAAATGAGGGACTAATAAAGATGTATAAAAAGATTAAAAATTATACATGAATCTGCATAGCAAAGGGAGATTGAAATTGTATTGTCTACTGTTGGAAGCAACCGTAATGAGATCATGCTGATGAGCTTCCCACTTTTAATTCATCACTACCTGCTGCAAGCTTTTGCCTTAATAAAGATGTGTTAGATGCAGGTAATAGGTAAGTGACTCTCAATCTAGCAGTGAGTCCTCCTTCCCAATTTGGCCAGGAGGGCTCTGGAAGCATTTCCTCTCACTCCTCTGAAGAAGAACAGGTTCAGAAAAAGAACTCAAAGTTTTTTGCACTACACTACAAGCTTTTTGCACAAAAACAAATGTTTTTTGTGCAAAAACCAGCAGAGCGTCCACACCTCAAGCGCATTTTTTTGGAGAAAAAAATACAGTAAATTGACAGGACAGAGGGCTGGTAGAGTTATTCCTCTGCCCACAAGGAATTCCTTTTTGCACTACTGCTCTTCTGCAAAAAGGCACGTGTGGATGCTCCACAGGGGTTTCGTAGGCAAAAAGAGTCTATGGGTATGTCTACACTGCAAAGTTAATTCGAAATAAAAGCCGTTATTTCGAATTAACTTTAATAGCGTCTATACATGCAAACCACTATTTCAAAATTAATTCGAAATAGTGGAGTGCTTAATTCGAATTAGGTAAACCTCATTCTATGAGGAGTAATGCCAAATTTGAAATAGCTATTTTGAATTAAGTGCTGTGTAGACACTTAATTCAAAATAGGGGGCCTCCAACATCCATGATCTCCGCACTTGGTACCATATTATGGTATATCACGAGAAAGAGCTATTTCTAGAGCCACAGCCCTCTGCAGAGAATATTATTTCACCTGAAGGATTTCAGTTCTAGTAATAACAGGAAAAGCATTTCTTCTCTTTAGCTCTTCAGTCTTTGTTTCAATTTTTGTTCCCAATATGTTGTATTTGTCAGTTTATTTTACCTCTCTTGCTAGCATTACAAATATTGGTATTCAATGTATATCTATACATTTTTCTTTAAAAATATGAGATCATACAGGAAATAATTACCAGTAATCCCCGACTTTGTTTGTATTCTTTGAGGACTTGCTCAATATTCTCCACCAGTCCTGCCTGAGCAACCCACTTAATGTTGAAGTTCTCCTTCAAGCAAATAGCTTCCATTCGCAAGTTCACAAATAACATGTCCAAATGTGTTTGCTAAAGGAGCAAAAATACATTTAATTGCAGAATTCCTTCTTTGACATTAAAGGGACACTGCCAAATAGCCAAGATGTAGGTCTTATTTTTTAAAAAATTAGAGGAAGTAGGGAGGGATCCTGCTTTTGAAAACCAAAAATTAATATTTTCAAGATATTTAACATTTAAATGAAAACAGGTTTTATTTTTAATTTAAATATTCCCATAAAGTATTGGAAATTCAGCCATTATATCACTGGCTTATGACCATATGTGGAAACCAGAAAGATGAAGTTACTCACCCTGTGCAGTAACGATGTTTCTTCGAGGTGTATGTCCCCGGGGGTGCTCCACTTGAAGTGTTGGGCTCACCCCGGCGCCGCAGGTCGGAGAGTTGTCAGCGATGGTCCAGCCGGACCGCGCATGCGTGGGGCGCGTGAAGAACGGTTACTTACCTGTAACTGTTGGTCTTCAAGATGTGTTGCTCATGTCCATTCGAATTAGGTGTGCGCACCACGTGCACTGCGTCTTCCAGAGCGTTTTCCCTAGCGGTACCCATAGCACTGGCAGGGCGTCCCCTGGAGTGGCGTTGCCATGGCGGGGCATAAGTACCCTTGCCGGCGCTCCCCCACCTCAGTTCCTTCTTGCCGGACGCTCCGACGAAGGGGAAGTAGGAGGGGAATCGAATGGACATGAGCAACACATCTCGAAGAACAACAGTTACAGGTAAGTAACCGTTCTTTTCTGCTTCGAGTGGTTGCTCATGTCCATTCGAATTAGGTGACTTTCAAGCCAACCCCACTTCAAGGAGGAGGGGTCGGAGCACTCAGAAAGAGAAGTCCACGAAAGTTGAACAATCTCGCCGGACCAACTTGACAGGAAGGTCTCACAGGCTCTCCTGACTGCCCTGAGCTCCCAGACATTTATGTGCAGAGCCTGCTCTGCAGGGGACCATAAACCCTGGGTTCTGTGACACCCCAGGTGTGCTCCCCAACCCAGGTTGGAAGCATCTGTGTCCCGTGTAAGCAAGGGGGGAGGTACGGTGAAGGGAACCCAGCTGCACACCACCTCCTCCTGAGTCCACCATTGTAAGGAGGCTATCACCTCCGGAGGCACTGTGAGAACTGTGTCTCAGAGACCCCTGGACTGGTTGAATGCCTTTGCCAACCAGGTTTGCAGAGGCCTGAGCCTCATTTGAGCTTGGCGTACCACATACGTACATGCCGCCATATGTCCCAGCATCCTCGAACAGACCCAGGCGGTCGTGATGGGGAACTGGGTTAACTCGGAGACCAGCTTCACTATGGACAGAAACCTGGTTCTGGGGAGGAGTGCTCTTGCCACCCTGGCGTCCAGGAGGGCACCTATGAATTCGAGGTGCTGGGAGGGAGTCCTTGTTTAGCATGAGTCCCAGACTTACGAAGAGGGCCCTTGTGAGGGAAACCTGGGCCTCCACTTGGCTATAGGAACGACCATAAATCAGCCAGTCATCTAGGTATGGAAAGACATGTACTCCTTTTTTGCGGAGGAACGCCGCTACAACTGCCATGCATTTTGTAAAGACCCTGGGTGCTGTTGAAAAGCCAAATGGGAGCACTGTAAATTGGAAGTGACATCGGGAAACAATAAAATGGAGAAACCTCCCGTGGCTGGGTCTTATTGCCACATGGAAGTAAGAGTCCTTGAGATCAAGAGTTGCGTACCAGTCTCCTAACTGTAAAACCAGGATAACCGAGGCCAGGGTTACCATTCTGAACTTGGATTTCACCACCGTCTTGTTGAGGTCCCTGGGATCTAAGATAGGACGAACCCCCCGCCTTTGGGTTTTGGGACAACGAAATACCGGGAGTAAAACCTTCTGCCTCTCAGATGTGAGGGGACCCTCTCCACAGCTTCCTTTTGGAGGAGCGCTAGCACCTCCTGATGGAGGATGCCTTCATGAGAGGTGTCCCTGAAAAGGGACGGGGCGGGCAGGTTGGAAGGGGGCGAGCCCAGGAAGGGGATGGTATAGCCATTTCTGACAATTTTTAGAACCCAGGTGTCAGTGGTGATTTCTGCCCAGGCGTGGGCAAACCGGGATAACCTGGCCCCAAACAGGGGGCCAGGGTGGGAGGCTGGTGCGCGACTCTCTAGCAACCCATCAAAACTGGTGCTTGGGCTGCTGGGAGGAGCCTTAACCAACCCCACAGAGTTGTCCCCTCTCGGGCAATGTCGAAGACCCCTTGCGGATGAGGGGCCCACAGCCGCCCCCAGCAGCCCCACTGGGGACACGCTGCGGGGCCGGTGTGTGAATCCCCAAGGACCGGAGAGTAGACCTCATGTCCTTAAGCGTATGAAGCCTGGAGTCTGTGTTCTCCAAAAACAACACTTTTCCGGCACAGTAAATTGGAAGTGGCACCGGGAGACTATGAAATGGAGGAACCTCCTGTGGCAGGGTCTTATCGCCACATGGAAGTAAGCATCTCTGAGATCGAAAGTGGCGTACCAGTCTCCTAACTGTAGAACCGGAATGACAGAAGCCAGGGTTACCATTCTGAATTTGGATTTCACGACCGCCTTGTTGAGGTCCCTTAGATCTAGGATGGGACGGACCCCGCCCTTGGGTTTCGGGACAATGAAATATCAGGAGTAAAAACCCTTGTCCTCCAGGTGCGATGGAACCCTCTCTACCGCTCCCTTTTGGAGGAGCGCCAGTACCTCCTGGCGGAGGATGCCTTCATGAGAGGTGTCCCTGAAAAGGGACGGGGCGGGCAGGTTGGAAGGGGGCGAGCCCAGGAAGGGGATGGTATAGCCATTTCTGACAATTTTTAGAACCCAGGTGTCAGTGGTGATTTCTGCCCAGGCGTGGGCAAACCGGGATAACCTGGCCCCAAACAGGGGGCCAGGGTGGGAGGCTGGTGCACGACTCTCTAGCAGCCCATCAAAACTGGTGCTTGGGCTGCTGGGAGGAGCCTTAACCAACCCCACAGAGTTGTCCCCTCTCGGGCAATGTCGAAGACCCCTTGCGGATGAGGGGCCCGCAGCCGCCCCCCGCAGCCCCACTGGGGACACGAGGACAGCGTCTCCAGTAATCCCTACGGGGGACCTGGGACTGCGTTCTCCCCTGCTGTCTGTAGGGCAGCTGACGACGCTGCGGGGCCGGTGTGTAAATCCCCAAGGACCGGAGAGTAGACCTCATGTCCTTAAGCGTATGAAGCCTGGAGTCCGTGTTCTCCAAAAACAACACTTTTCCGTAAAAAGGCAGGTCCTGGATCGTAGTTTGGATGTCCGGAGGTATTCCAGACACCTGCAGCCAGGCACCACGGTGCATAACTACACCCGACGTCATGATGCGGGCTGCAGAGTCAACAGCGTCCAGGGAGGCCTGAAGGGCCATGCGGGCGATGGTTCTGCCCTCCAAAGTCATGGCCGCAAACTCCTCACGGCCTCGGCAGGGAGCTTATCCTTAAACTTATCCACCGCTTGCCATGTATTATAAGCATAATGACTCAGCATCGCTTACTGGTTAGCAATGCGGAGTTGCACCCCACCAGTGGCATGCACCTTATGGCTCATCAGGTCAAGGCGTTTGGGCTCCCTAGCCTTCGGGGATGGCCCCGGCTGGGGAAGCCTCTCCTTTTGAGCCACAGCCTGAACGACCAAGGACCCCGGGACAGGTTGGGAGTACAAGTGTTCGTGCCCCGACTGGGGAACGTAATAGCACCTCTCAATTCCCTTTACGGTAGGGGTCGGGGACGCTGGGGTCTGCCACAGGGCATTAGTAATCTTGGCCACAGTTTTATTAAGTGGCAAAGCCAAGTAGGTGGGGGCATCTCAGAGAGGTTGTCAATCATGGGGTCCGTGTCCTCCATTACTGGCTCCACTGGGACACCCAGATTGGAGGCCAGACGCCTAAGCAGATCCTGATGAGCTGGAGCATCCATAGTAGGCAACGCCGGTGCGGGATCCGCCAAGGCTTCATCAGGAGACGAAGATGACGACGACTCCTGGATCGGTACCTGATCCAGCATAGGGCCCAGTTGAGGAGCCGGCTGGGCAGGCGGCACCGTTTACAGAAGCGGCTCCAGCACCAAGGATTGTGGGTCTGCCGTGGCATCTGTAGTAACCAACCTATGGGGGGAAGGAGGTGGTCGTGACAGCAACGCCGACAGTTGCGCTCGGTGCCCCGAGACACCGGACACCACAGAGGAGAGCACAGGACCCTGCCACTGGTGGTAAGCCCACGGCGTCCAGAAGGGCCATTGCAGTTGAGGCGGCCAAGTCTTCTGCACACGCAAACAATCACACCGGTGCCGGAAACGGGATCTATGACGTGAGGAAGCTCCCGAGGATTCCGACCTGAACGAGGCCACATCAGAATCCGACGAGTAGTCAGACTCAGGCCAGGGAGGCACAGATGACGAATGCCCTGCCACCAATGGGGGAGCAAACCTGGCCATAGACTCGGGTTTGCCCGCATGCATGTGATGAGGGCGTGCCAGCGCCGGTAGGACAGGTCCCAGTGCTGGTTGAGGTGCCGACACAGTGCATGGCTGTGCTGTTGAAGTCGGTATCGGTTGCGGACGCGGGGCCCCCAGAGCAGGCTGTCCTATCTGCAGCCCCATCGCTGTTCCCGCAGACTCTACCGCAAGCTGGAACGAAGGCGCTAGAGTTGTCAAGACGAACCTCAAAGAGACCGATGTTACTGGCGATGGCGGTACCGGCATGGCCCATGGGGCCGATGCCGGTGCCTGTAACGGTGCCGATACCTGTATCGGTGCTGAAGAGCCTGGAGCCGGAACTTGCATTGGTGCCGAAGAGCTTGATGCTGAAGGGCCCGGGGGCGAAGACTGGAGCGGCACCCTGGGAAAGCTGCTTAGCGCTGGTACTGATGATGGTGCTGGAGA